AACAACAAAAGCAGCCGCAGCAACAGAAGCAGCGGCAGCGACAGCCACCGCAAGGCGAACAAAGGGAGCAGAGGCCAAAGGTACACAGCAAGGAAAGAGAAACGGCCACACGCGACCAAATCGTGTGGTGGCACCCCTGAGCCTACCGGAAGCGCCCGGCCCCACACACAGCGCGGGGAAAGACAACGTTGAACAACTGACGTCCGGCCTTAGTTCGCTGTAAAGCTCCTAACCCTGAATGTCTGAATTGGGGGGGGGGGGGTTGTAGGGCCCCTGGAAACATCATGTGCCTAGAGTGCCGTTAAGCTGGGGGCATCCACAAAAGTATGAAAACTCAATTCCTCGTGCTTGGTTGCTTTTCGGCTTTCCGAACCCTCGAGAATTTGGGTGGGCCTTTGTTTCTTGAATGGGTGACATCTTTTTGGGTAGGCTTCCAAACCAAGTCACCGAATTCTTCCAAGCCGTTTTGGGCGACTTGTTGCCGTTCTCAGTGAGGGGAGGCCCTCAAAGGTGTGGCATCAAGATCTGAGCCTCATCCTTGCCCGATGAAACTCGTTTGCCTCTTTGTCCATTTTCCGTTTCTTTTAAGCGGCAAGTGGCCAAATCTGGTCAGTTTCATTTTTTTAGTCCTATGGGCACAGCTACATGTTGACACACGTTTAACATATGGTTTTTCTAGAAGGGAACTGGGCAAAGGGCAAATCCTGTATGGATCGAGGACAAGGGTGCACAACAAGCTCGAGGGCTGCTGACGTATTTGTTTCATCAAGGGCCCTCAATTCTGCAACATCTCCAAGAGTCTTCCATATCCGGATGCTTGAAGCAAACTACCATACTTTGGACTTTGGAATCTTTCATGGCTTTCAATTCAAGGATTTAGCATAATTCAACAATATAGGCTTGGAATATAGCAACCTCGCCAACAGAATTTGTGCCCTCACGACACATGATGAAGCTTCCTTCCTGGAGGGGGCTGTTGAATTACTTGTCCCACGGTTTTGTTGACATTCAGAATTCAGTGTGATTGTTTTAATGGGTGTTACAGTGCTTGACCATGCGATCCGCTTTGAAGTCAACCTGTTTTGCGTGTGATTGTATAATTCACCCAGTTCTTTGCTTTTAAACGTATTTTATTTGTCGGTATACTGCAAACTAGGGATTTAGACCCCTAACATTCCCGTTTTCCTTGTGGTTCCGCGTTGAACCAAAGTCAAAAAGTCCACGACGGTCATGCGTTCTCCGGAGGCGTTCTGCCAGCGCGAGCTGGGGAGCAACAACCGCACGCGGCAGCACAAGAGCGCGGCGGTGGAGAGCCTGACGGTGGGGCGAAACGGACGGGGGAATGACCACAGGTAGGTGGTAAGTGTCCCAAGTAAGTGGGGAGGGGTCATACTTTGGATGGACGAAGTCCTGCACTTTGAAACCATGGGAAGCCATTGCTTGTTGGTATTTACAGGGGAGGGTTTCTTAGGTGGTGCAGGATTTCGTCCATCCACAGTAGTAAGTGGAAGGGGAGGGGTACTGTTGACCGGGTGGGGGCCCTCTAAAAGTGGTCTGATTCCCCACTGAACCCAGGGACACCCCTATTCATAAACCGGGGTTTGTTAATCCGGGGCAACATAATGACCACAGGTCAGTGTTTCGTATTTTCAGTCAAGTGGTGATTTTCTAGATAGGGTGGTGATTTTTAGTAGTTGAGTGGTTAGTTTCCCCCGGAATTTTTGCGGGTCGCTGGAGACCGTTCATCACCTCAATTTTGTAGCACGGGAACCTTAGTCCGAGTGCGTTTGGCCAAGAAAGCGTTTGTAGGAATCATCTGGCGTTTTCCGGGATGAGCACGCCAAAAAGGGGTGCGGAGAACGGGGGATGGGAGGCCTGGCACCAGTTGAGCCAGTTGAACCAGTTGACGTCTTGCTCAATGTCCAACTGAGTCAACTGGGTCAACTGGGTCAACTGGGTCAACTGGGTCAACTGGGTTAACTTGTTCAACTGGTGCTGCTTGTCAACTGGTTCAACTGGTACTTGTCAACTGGTTCGATTGGTTCCGCGGTGCCTGACGATGCCTGACGTTTATTGACCCCCAATGCCGACGCACTCAACACACTACATATACATGTAAGTGATCTCCAAGATATATTATATATACACACACGTACATGCTTCACTGTTGCGGGCATGTTTCTTTTCTTTTTTTGCTTCTCTTCATTTTCAGTGGGGGGGGGGCGGGATCCAAAAAAACAACCCACTTGTTTTTTGTTTCCACACGGATTGCAAGGCATACGAACCGAGCTTCGGAGGCGGAGATCGATCAGCTGGACGCCTCTCTGGCACAGCTCTCGGAGGAGATCGCCTCCATCTCCGCACAGGAGACCGATCCAGCGGATTGGTTTCTTTCGGATTGGGAGCAAGCGGCTTCTCAGGGTCAAAACTAGGTCGACCCCTCAAAATGGCCCCTTGCACCATGTAAAGCCACGAATGACCCAGGTAGTCAGGTAAAAATGGGTCTGTCTTTTTTGGAGGGTACTCCTTTTTTGGGTGGCTTTGAAGGGAAGCCAAAAGGACCACCAAGTATTTTTGGCTCCAACCTAGGAACATATGGCTGTGGGACAACAAAAGGGTGTGGGTCAAAAGAAGGTTGAACCCAGAATAGAACCCTTGTAAATATGGCCTAGAACCTGCAGTCTGGTGGTTTAAATTTAAACCCAGATTGCCTGCCGGTTCTGAGGAAAGACATGAAGGGTTTCCAGTCGGGTTTGTCTCAAGATGAGATTTGGTCTCCCAAACTGGTTTGTTTCCTTTTTCCCTTTGAAGCCAAAAGGGAGTTCCCCGAAAAAGGAGACGCCCAGTCAGATTCCAGATTAGTTGGCGTCTTGGTATGGCAGCTGGCCGTGTCTAAGGGAACCCTTGATGGGCGGGGTTTTAATCGGAAGATGCCACAACCAGGAGGGTTAGGGTTTATTGGGCTAGATCTGGTTCCAAAGGGCAAGGAGTGATCCCGACTGAATCCGACTGAATCGAGCAGACCCCAAAGCCCCATCAGCTCAGAGACAAGCACCCAATTTCTTTGCTGGTTGATTTAAAAGGAAAGGGGTCCCGCCAAACTAAATTCCTCAATGCTATGTCCCTACATTATTCCAGGAAACTCGAATCAAGTGGCAGCCACAATTGGTGATGCTCACGGCAGAAAGGAGATCGAGCTGAGGCATCGTCAAACTATGGCTGTCACTACCAAACTACACCTAGGGGGGAAATATGATACCCTTCATGCTGTGGCATATTGCACTTGTTGGTCAATTCAATAGGGGCTCGATGGTTTAATGCAGATTCTGCTGGTGAGGTTTGTACAAAACCATTGTAACCATGTTTTGTAGAACCAAGCGCCAAGCGCTGCTCAAGTGCATTTTCTTGAGGTAGGGCCCAACACCAAACTTGCCATTGGCCATTGTGATATGTGATCCTACGACTGGCTTCATTGAGGTTACAGAGAGGCCCGTATAGCTTGGTGGCTCCCAGCCATCCTCTTAGCTTTGTAGCTTTTTCTGTGTTTAGTCGGGATTTCCATTCGGCCGACAAAAAGTTAAACTTTTAGCCTGCACATGAATCATCGAAACCATGCTGAATGATAGAAACGCTGGTAGAATTTCGCCGGATTCCCGGCAGGCTCCTTCACCTTGCGCAGGGAGGGAGGGTGACTCAGGTATCCCGCGGGATGGGGACTCAATGGGGATATCGACTCAGGTGGTGTGGTCGTCCACGTGGGTCTGGGTTCCCTAGAAGTGCCTGAATAATTAGGATGCGCTTGTGTGGTACTTTGAGACTATTTTCAGTCTAAGACCATGGCCCCATGTATCATATTCCTTTAACTATCATCACCTTTTCATTGCCATTTGTTTCCTGCGAGTTTCCTTTGGGAGTGATGTGCAAAGGGAGGAACACCCTTCCACAATTTAAATTGAACCTGACGTTCGGAATCCGGTGCCTTTAAAAGGGTTAAATGGTCCAAACCAGGCCCGATTCCCCGAAACGTCGAACGGCTCCATTGTTAAGTGGTGGGAGGCGATATATGCTTTACATCCCATGGCGTGGTAGCAAAACCAACAAAAAAACGCGTGCAATTGTTTTGGTCCCCCTTTCTCCCCCCCCCCCGCCAAACCTGCGATTTTTTCTTTGGTACTTCCACCCCCCCCCCCCCATCCGTCGCTTCGTCCGTCGCTTCGTCCAGTCGCATCGCAGGTCACGGAGCTGAGCGGAGCGCTGGCGGAGGCCCTGCGCCTGCGCCAGGCGAGGGATTCGGAGCGTCTGACTCAAAGCGAGGGCTTCGGCTCCCCCGAGGAGCGCCGGCTAGGTGCCGTTTCTTTTACCCTTTCCTTTTTTGTTGGGAGGGTTCCCTTATTAAAATAGACTACTGAAAAGAAGTTGGTACCCTTATTCGAACCTCTCTACTGGAGGATCTAGTTAAGGATCAACGGAATGGGTGGAGCATGTAGGATATTTAGTTGCGGGACTGAGGGCCGAAAGGGACGGAAAGGGAGTGAAAGGGACTGAAAGGGACTGAAAACGCGAAATGGGTTGAGCATTTGCTTGGTTTGGCCAAACTATCTAGTCCTGCCTTGCTTTTGGGAGGGGGGGGCAGCTTTAAATTTGTACAAAGTTTCTTGCTGGTGCCATATGTAGGGATCCGGGTTTTGGGAATGAACCGCAAGGGGATTGATTCCGTTGAAGGACACCATGGGGGGTGGTTTTTCTCGGGATCCTTCCATTTCTCATTCCCTGCTGAGAACCAGCAAGTTTAGATATTTAGTTGCATCCTAAATGGGCAGATATTGACCTTGGGGGGGCTTTCGGGATTCGACTTGGGACCCTAAAGCCGTTTGGGCTGAAAATGATTTGCTAGCTTCCCCAGTGCCCATAGGTGTCCTTTTTAGGTCAGTTTGACTAAAAGTAGATGGCGCTGGCTTAGGTGGGGTTTCCTCCATTTACCAGGGCCATCTAATTTTCCAAGAGGCCACCTATGCCAGCGCCCATAAACTGCATGACCATTCCAGATGATTCTTCCATGTCCCCATCTTTTCCCCTTCCAGGGGTACCCAAAGCCCACAACCGAAGAGGCCGCAAACATTTCCCCTCACTCGAACAAGTTCGTGGGAGACCACCGAACCTTTTTCGTTGGGGGGATCTCCCTCAGGGGCCTCCGAATTTCCAAATGGGCAAACCACGGCAGAAGTTGTGTATGGGGTCCTGTTGCTTTCCCAAGTTTCTACCCGAAGAGTCTTAGTACATCTTAGGTTTGCCCCCGCAACCAGGACTAAGGGCTAACTAATTGCAGGTAGTTTACTCCTCCAATCATGCCTGGTTCTGACGTTTACTCCTCCAATCATTTCTGGTTTCGAAGTACACAAACCTACTCCGTGCCCAGCTCTCACCCCCGCAGGCGGAGCAAGAGAAGCACAAGGCGACCCTGCAGGAGGCCACCCGCGCTGCAAAAACCAGCGCCCCATACAGAGAAACTCCCCCTGCAGCCAGGGTTTGCCGCCTTTTTCGTAGCTCACTTCCTGAGTTCCTGGATTTTGGTCAGCAGAAACCCCGACATTGGTCTCAAATCTCTCCTCGCTTCCGTGGATTGGCCAAAAGTGCCAAGCTTTTTGGTTGCCACCAAAGTGGTGACCCAGCTTCGGAGTTTCGAGAGACGGGGGAGTTCGCCCTATCTGTCGGGTTGCAAAGTCTTTGCAGAAGCAGCCAACCCGTCGGAGACTGATGCGTGTTTTCGGTCCTGGGTTCAGCCCACCAGCTCGGGAGCGGCTGATTTCGGCACGAGTGCCTCGTCAGCTCTTTGACCGAAAGGACCTTTTTGCCGGGTTCCTTGTTTTGAACGGTTTCTGGGGGTATCAAAGTCAGAAAATGGGAAACGGGGTTGTTTCCTTTGACCAACCGGTTGACCAACCGCTTAGGGGATGACTTTCATCATGGCCAAATAGTGGGGCCAGGTTTGCCTTGTGGAACAGGACGACGCTTTCCTAGTGCAGCCAACAACTTTTTGAACACAGCTCAGAGCTTGAATATAAACCACCGCATTGCTTGAGCGGTGTTTATTTGTTGTATTTTCAGCTGGACCTTTATCTTCCAACTTGTTTCTGCTCACTGCCATGCCAAGAGTGGCTCTGTTGTTGTTTTTTTTGCGCCGTCAAAGACCACCCAGTTTCGGATTTGTTGCCTTTCCTTTGCTTCGCCGTTCTCCCACCAGGATGATGGAACATCATATTATTATTCCAACCCCTCCGTTTTGAACGGCCCATGTTTCAAAGCTTGCAGAACGTACGTTTTAGTTGTTTTCGCCTTTGTGTCTGGGCCGAGAAAGAGCAGCTTTCAGCCTTTGGGGAATACACAACTAAACGCAAAGCAGAAGTTGAAGTTGAACTTCTATTTCCGGGGTTCGGCTCAGGCAGTTTTTGCAGACAGCTTCTTTTTTCAGATCCTTTCCTAGGAAAACTACGTGTGCGGACAAATGTGGCTTTTACGTGGAGACCAGCATGGATTCTTTGAGTGGTTTGTACTTTGACGTGGAACCAACATGTGGCCTCATGTAGAGTTTTTTTTTGGCATGTCTTTTTCCAATCCTGCTTGACGTGTTTGTGTTGGTTCGTGGTATACAGCCCTTTGCGGGACCCGTTGCTTCTTCTTTTTTTCGACCAGCGACCCGGGCCGCACAAGTCGTTTTGTGTTTAGTTTTGGCAGGCGCAAGAGGCGCAGAAGGCGGTGGCGGAGGCGCTGGGCCTGCTGCAGGAGGGGAAGTCCTGAGTTCAGCTTTGGTGCGATAGGTGGCGGGTGTTACCCCTAGAATAGTGCCAATCGAATCGGTCCAACGGCAGGACGTTTTCTCCAAGAGCTCCCTGCTGCAGCTGAACCAAAGCACGGCCAAGGGAGGTGCCTCGGAGTCGGACCGCCCTTCCTAGGGGTTCCTACCATAGAAGTGGCTGAATCAATGCAAACATTCCTCTTCCATGATAGGGAGAGGATGTTTATAGCCACCAAAATAGCGACAACAGATTTGGGCTCCGAACATCCACGTACCTACCATGGTCAAAATACCAAAAGCAAGCTTTGCTCGGGCTTGAATCATCAACTTCTTGGGGATTTTAGACAACCGTGGAAGGATTCTAAGGGAGCCGAGACCGTCATGACACACAGGAGCTTTGCTCATGGCAAACCCCTTCGAAATGGCTGGAGTTTGGTGGTTTCAGCACTTGTTGGTTGCCAATTAAGTTTGGCGCGGGATTGCTTGAAAGGCTTGAAGCATAGGGACGATTTTCAAGTTGGGTGTGTCTTTGTTGAGGAGACCCCCCTCTAAAATGGTGATGTCTTTGGTTTCGCTTGAACAAACACCAAACACGAGGTGGCCTTGAACATAGACACACCCGATTTCCTCTCCCTCTTGAGCCCCGAAAGCTGGGCCCATGATGTTGACGTGTCGATCGGTTGAGTCAGGAACTGGGGGCCGGATCCCGGGGCAGGGAGGGGGGGGCGTCGAGTAAATCCACTGCTTTTAAGGGCTTGGACACTGACAAACTTGTTGCTTGCAGAACTAGTTGGGTGGCTCAGGTTTTTTGAGGGTGTCCTCTGTTTTGTGGCGAAGAAGTACCAAAAGAAGCACCACCATCCTGGGGTCCAATCCTACAAAACGACACACCCAAATAGCACGGGTCACCAATTCAGTTGGAAACCATGGGGGCAACCTGGCCAAACAAGCCAGCCAAGGCCAAGTGGTTGAGGCCTGAAGGATCGGGAGCATTGGGGGCGGAGGTGTTGCTAAGATCCCTGATATTTTGAAGAGTAGTAGCAAGCAGTTTGCTGCGTTCCATTTGTTTGATGTTTCTCTTTCGGCATTTGCTTGAGGCCGTTGGTGTTCGCCATGTTGTTCGCCTTATCCCCACCTCCGATCCCCTGTTTAACTCCACTGTTTCTTCAACATCATTCACTGGCATTTGTTTGTACTGAATCTCCACCTCTTTGTCTTCTTTCTCCCTCAGGGCTCCTTCTAGCGGCATGGCTAGGGCCAGTCTTGAGCGGGCTTGGAGCTGAATGGCCAGCTCGTGTTCATGGAGTGGGGGTTGGCTTGTTGGGCGTGCAAAAGGCGCCGTTTTGGCGCCTTTTTCAGGGGTCCCTATGTTTGCACCTAGGCTGGTTGTGAACATCACCTTTTCAAGGGAGCTTCCTTGTGGGGTGATGTTCAAGGGGAAGTATAAGGAGGTCACTCTCTTTCTCTCTCTCTCTCTCTCTCTCTATTCATATCTGTATATATGTACCAGTCCCTGGGCCACGTACCCCCCCCCCCACCCCCCCCAATGGTATGGTCCCCCCACTCCCCCGCATCATCCGCATCTTGGGGATGATGCTGGCAATGCTGGGGATGCTGTCCAGTACCGTGCGAGCCCTGCAGCTTCGGTCCCAGACCCCCTTTCACCCCGTGAACCAACACCCCCGCACCTCTCGCAACATCCTACCCTAAACCAAACCACCCTGCAACCCCTCCTTAACCCCAACCCTAAGCCTAAATCAACCCAAAACCCAAACCCACCCGAAACCCACCGCAAACCAACCCTGAACCAACCCTGAACCAACCCTAAACCAACCCACCAAGCCTAAACCAACTCCGAACCACACCCCAACCACCCAACCACCCAACCCCCCCACCCCCCCCCCCCCCCCCCCCCCCCCCCCCCCCCCCCCCCCCCCCCCCCCCCCCCCCCCCCCCCCCCCCCCCCCCCCCCCCCCCCCCCCCCCCCCCCCCCCCCCCCCCCCCCCCCCCCCCCCCCCCCCCCCCCCCCCCCCAAAAAATAGTAAAAGGAGAATTCAAAGAATTATTCTTTCTACTATTTTTCTCCAACAGCAACACAACAAACAGAAAACAAAATCCAGAACAACAAGCAAACAAAATAAATAATCACAACCAGCAACAAAAATATTTAATCACAGCATGCAACATTAAATAATTCAAACAAGCATACCAACAAAACAGCAACACTCTAAATCATCAAAGAACCCAAACTCAAAAACACACATCAACAAAAATCAAAGCAACATACCAACAAAAAATATCACAAGAGTATCAAACAAAACAAAAACAAACAGCCAAAGCACGAAAAAATTGAAGAAGCATGCCAAGTCTAAACAACGCACTTTGAAAGAGATAAGCAAATTATAATAATTCAATCTTTACAAACGATAAATATATTACAATTATAACATATAATAGTTTACATGTGATAATCATAGTATGATTAATAATTATGGGTTACATTTATAGTCAGGAAAAATGTCTTCAAATATGTAATCTACATATTTATCAATATCGCCAATGTCTATATATTTGATATTGTCTTTTCCTATTATTGAATAAATATATTCCCAGAAAAACAAATTAACTAGTAGCCATACTTGATATTTAGTGTTGTAGTAATACCATACATGATATTTAGTTATTCTAAATTCATTCAAGACCTTGATTATTTTATCTTTGCTTAATAAATGCCAATCAATCTCTTCAAACAAATCACGAAATTCTTTAGCAAATGATTTATATGGTTTAATGCTTAGTTCTCCTCCAAACCTTTTAATCAAATCTTTATTATTAAAAAACTCATCAAGTTCTTTTTCAAATGACTCTCTATCAATTTTATGACAAAAATATACAGGAAATCGTTTTTGATATTTCATAAAGAATGTCAATTGTAATTGAAACTTTGTATATCCCTTATCCTTATATTCTTCAACAAACAACTTTTCAAGGTCTCTTGTTATACAGCATTGATTACAATATACATCATATTCACTTATTTTATTACACAGATTAGCAGGTAATAAGTTATACAATGTAAAATTAATATCATTCTTTTTATTATTACAACATTCACACTTACTATAATTAAACAGTGTCATTTTTCCTCTTAATATATTAAGTCAATATTTCTTTAAGTCGTTTTCAAAGAATTTATTTTATAATGGCCGTAAGCAAGTGAGTTTATACTATCTATCCAATATTTTTTGTTTTCATAACTACTAAGAGCAATTTTTTTAGTTGTTATACTAAAAATTCTGTGGTTTTTACTTCTAATACTATTAAATGACTTATGTATAACCTCATTAGTTTTTAAAACCGTCTCAAACTCTTCATATTTCATTTGACGTCTTACTGTGCCTTTTGCTATGCCCTTACATTTCTTATATTTTTTATCATCACCATAAACTGAGTAAGCATAGCATTTAGGACGAAGGGCTATAAACCCTGTTACTATTTTACTTTTTAATTCATCCTTAAATTTCCCTAATACTTTCTTGTTATTATCATCATAACATTTATGTTCCTTAGGATAATCTGAAAAATCTAATTCTTTTTTAATTGTATTAAGGTCTTCATAAATGTCATTGGTTTTAGTATGAAATACAAAACTATCAGTATCAGTATATACCATTTTAATATTATCACCATATTTAGGCTTCATAACGTCATAATAAAATTTATACATGTGTTGCTTACTCAAATCTAAAATACTCATCCCAATAAATATAGGTTTGTCTAGTTTCAACTTTGTTTTTTGCTTTTCAACTCCAACCAAATTTTCATTAATGATATGACTATGTTTGAAGTTAGGATTACTTACACACTTCATATATCTAGTTTCATCACTCACAACCTCAAAATCTAAATGTTTCCTTTTATCCTCCATTGTTTTTCCAAATATGGCATTGTTCATCAATTTGTAAACATCTTTCTCAAAATCATTTCTAGCATTCTTCCTCTTCTCAGTGTTAAACTCAATGTAAGGTTTTAAAACTTCTTTTTGTTCAAATTTAATTGCTCTATGAATTTTCTTAAGTTTTAACCCTTGCTTCAAATAAAATTGTAAGGTTCTTATATGGATTACATATTTTTCTTTATCATTTAAGTTCAATATTAATTTATTTGTTTTCTCATCCGTAGGTTTTTTATGATTTAAAAATTCATAAATTTCAATTTGTTTATCTGACAGCATGTCGGCTTTAACATTCATAACCTCAGGTGCCATTGGATAGTCATTGTGTAAATCGTGTAATTCTTTAGGATATTCTAAATCCACTTCTAGAATATATCCAATATTATTATTCTTATAATTAATAATGTCTTCTTCTTTTAATGTATCATCCCATTTTAGATTTTTATATGGCAGTTTTTGTATCATGCTTAACCCGTACAAATTATTAGCATCAAAATAGTTAATATAACTACTTTCTTTATTTTTATCATATTCTTCTCCCATGTATTTATTATTTGCTTCAACTTTTTTAGTAGAAACCATACACATCCTCCTCTAAGTCCTGCTTCTATCATTTCATACATTTCTTGGTCATATATTAAATCAATCTCTACACCAGTCATTTTAAGCATAGCATCAAAAGCAAAGTTAGGCAATGTATAATAATAAGCAGGGTCCAATCCATAATATTTCATACATACATCTCTAAAATTTTCGAAAATGTCAGTCAATAATAATACATCAGTTTTCAAATATAAATCATGGTATTCACCCATATTCTTAATGTCGAAATGCTTCCATATAATTTTTGCCCTTTCATAGTCGTTAACACTTATACCTTCTTCACTCAACTGACTATAAAAATCATCCTTACTCGGTAATTGCTCATCATCAAATTTATCAAATGAATTCATGTAGTCATAAGGATAAACGCCTTTATCAGTTAATAAATCTAGACATTTCTCACTCTTAATCACATCATTTTTACTACTGAACCTAAAATTATCTTTCCAGTTTTCACGCAATAACCATTTACTTTTATCTTCTTCATCTGTATTATCATACTTACTCATTGAAACTAACTTATCTAATGAAGCAGTTAAAAACCCAAAAGTGTCTTTAACACTCAAACTTTCAAAACTGATATTAATAAATTTTTCACT